TTTCGTTTTAAGATTTTGAGACGATGATTTGTTAGTGGTGAATGAAAATGTGAATTTGATTCTCCTTGGCCAGCGAACGCCATGCTCACCGAGTTTGTGGTCCATCTTCTCTCTGTTATTTCCCCTAAATTCTCCTTTCTCTCTATCTTTTTGTTTTCGCTGTCCTTCGTTTAAAGGAATGGATCTGGGCCGTATTAGGATGTGAATGAGAATTTCTCCTTATCGATCCCCTGCCCTTCAATTGGGACTGTGGCTGCAGAGGTCAGGAAGACAGAGCTGGGAGAAAGGGCTAGACATCTGCTGAAAAGGGGACCATGAAGTTCATGTTCTCCTTTTCTCAGTACTGCAGAGCAAGCGTTGCAACTGGCCTGCTTTCTTGGGAATTCAGTACTAGAAGGATTGGGAATTGAGATGCAAGGAAGAAAAGCCACAAGATGTGGCTTAAAACATCTGGGTTTAAACCCCTACTGATTTTATTCTGCTGAGGCATCAACTGGAGCTGAGGGAGGTGGGGGGTAACAGCCATCTAGTAGAAAGAGTGCAGCTAAAAGCAGCTAAGTAATTACACTTCTTACAATGGTGGGAACTACACTGTATGAAGCTATAGACTGTTTTGGTAACCAGGAAACAAGTTGGTGATGCCTCACTAGATGTCTTTCTCAAGTGTGCAACGTGTTTTTGGAGTGGGTGGTTTTGGTTTGTTATTTGTCTAGTCTGACTGGTGCAAGTAAGACATCAAAGTCATCTAGGAGGTGTACTGGAGACTGTGACCTGCCATGTGTCACTATACTCCACACAGCACAATCAGTCAGGAAGAAGGCTGTAATCAAAAGGAGTCTGTATTTCCTGTCTGCTTGTGTCCCGGAGGGATGCAATGAGGTTCCTTTCTTGCTCTTTAAGTGGCATGTGTTGGTGGTTTTATACTGCACCAGCAGACGATGAGTTGATGGTTGGACTAGATGATCTTAGTGGTGTTTGCCCACCTTAATGATTCTATGAACTGGATGGGGATTGAATTAGAAGGACACCATCAGGCAGTGTGGGTGTAAGGTGGCGGGCCTGGCACTGGTCATGCTTTGCTGATGGGAATTCAGCTTGAAGCATGTTTGCAAGTGCTAACTGTCCAGTCCAGACTCACTGGACCTCAGCACACTGATGGTTCTCTGTCAGGGCTGAACCCCTATCTAAGATTTTTGGTTTTCATGGTGGCAGCAGTGAGAGGCCTCATTCTGTATGCTAGTCTTGTTCTTTCTGGTGCTCCCATCCTGTAAGCAGTAAACATGTCTTATCCTGAGCTTCCCTCGCATGTCTCCTGCGTCCAGCTGTGCTCTGCAGTTTTGTTTGCATGGATGGCATCATCTTCTCCAGCACAAAAGCTTCTCCTTCCCTGCCTTCATGATGATGTCTTTTTTGTATACAGACTCCCAGAACAGCAAGCTGAGAGCCCTCGGGGCTGGCAGACAGCACTGTATCCATGGCAAATACAATTTGGCTGTGTTCCACATGGTGCTTCGGCATTGTTGAGTCCTGCTTTACCCTGCCTGCTCCTATATCCTTTGGGTTGCCAGCTTTGAAAAAGATGGGACACGGTAGTAATATGCAGGAGATGCTGTGGGAACAGCTGGCACCTTTCTGAACCAGCCTCCAGGTAGCTGCATCAGCAGCACTGAGATAGTTATGGCCCAGGAGCAGAATGTGCTGCATGCTGGTCTTGGGTCTTTCTAGTAGTATGATGTGCCCCAAATAAGCCACATGTGCCTCTGAGTTTGTTTCCTCACCTGTAAAAACACAGAGGGGGTCATTGTTTTCATGGGAGGTTCCCTCCTTGGCTGCACAGCACCTTGAGATCTGCCCTGAAAGGGGCCTGGACTGTAGCATCCGATGAAACATGAGTGGCTTATGGTAGATCAGGGAGAGGAGGGGAGGGAAGTGGCCATTTCCAGCTCTGCCCGTGTGAGAGGTGAAGGATGAGAGCCAGAAGAATCTGCACGGATGGAGAAAAAGAACGACCAATGCAATATCAGATATGGCATTTTTTGAGAGCTTAGGTACTGTGTTCTCTCTGTTGTTTGTTGTCCAGATCGTATCTTCTGCTGGTGCTCCTTGTGCTGGTCAATTTTATGAATAGAGAAAGGGAGGGGAAGTGATAGGCACCAGCTCCTGGGTTATCTTGTCCTGCTGGGCAGAGATGCCAAGGAACTAATCTGGACTGGGAAATGTTGGAATATGTTTTTATTTTTAATACAAATCTGCATCTCTAGTGTGACTCAAGCGTTCGCTGCGCTGTGATTTCTCATACAGTAACTTGTTTTAGGTTCCAGAGTGGGTCATTGTCCCCTCTCCCTGTCTCTGCATGGGGAGCTGAGCTGCTCAGTGGGACTGGGATGGGGAGAGGCCAAGCATGCGTGAGGGGAGGAAGGCCCACGGTCATGGGTGTTGCGTTGAGTATCTCTTTTCGTTTTCCCTGATATGATAACCTGGTCTGTGGTGTTGCAGTACTTTGTCACCAGACTTGTTTTAGTGTGTATATATGTGACCCCTCCCATGAAGCATATATACACAGGTATTAAATATATCGCTCTATATAATATTATATGTGTGTGGTATCAAAGGAATCTTTTTAATGAGGGTAAAGGAAAAGGACTCGGGCCGGGAAACGCAGCATCTCCATTTAAAATATGAAGGCTTTTATTTGGATTAGGGAAAGGGAAATAACAGAGGGGAGGTTTTATATAGATAGGTATAAATTCTGAGATGGGGCAGGTTTACCTGTTCATGCTTTTAAAACCCCCTAGGATGTCCTTACAGTCCCATCTCAGTGGAAGGGTATTATACTGCTAATTAGGGAGTGAAGTTTTCACAATAAGGCTTTGCTTATATTATCTAAGAGGACATTGTAAAAGGCAGGAAGCTTCACACTTGGCTTCCCAGGCTCACTTTATCGAGTCAAGAGGTTTTTCTTCAGCACATGATGTACTTTCAGTAGAAGTGCTTGGTGCTCTCAGCTGCACAGCAGTTAACCCCACAGGTAAGTTGTAGGGCTGCTTTAGCAATGCATTCGCACGACCCTCTGATAACTCTCTTTTATTCATTCTTCCGAGGGAAGAAGAACATTTTGCAGCGTGGAACCAAGTCTGAGGGTTATTAACAATGCTTTGATTTTATAACATTAGAAGAAAATCTCACGTCCTGTAAAATAATCACACACACAGAATAGAGACTGATTTAGATCAGCTTGTTAAATGCTGAAGGACTTGGTGAGAATCTCTTCCCAAATCCTTTGGTAAGGGTCAAGGTGTAAGCGATGCTTTTGTGAGCCTGACCTTTACGGGGAGAAGGAAAAACAAATCAAATACCCTATTTTGCTTGTATGAAACTGTATGTCAAAAACAAATGGGTTTTAGCAAGTGAAAGGAAAAGATAGCAAGGGGATGCTGCACTTCTGAGCTGGGTAGTAATGATTTCGAGTCCTTTAATATGTCTTTGTATTAATATAATTTAAGAATACCACGCTTTACTATTAAAAAAGAACTTAGTATCTTTCATAAGGTCTAGTATCAGGATAATAATGTAGATGTTTTAACAACATTTTTGGTTTTGTTCTTAAAAAAAACAACAACAAACTTGCTTCTTTTAGCCTTTGTAATAGAAAATAAAAGTGTGCACTTTAAACCCTCTTCTGATACAGTGTGTGTTTGCATTTTTCAAGTAGCCCACAATGGCTTCTTACCCAGGTTCCAGTTTTCCTTGCTGTAAGGAGGGAAGCAAGGAGAGTACTTCTGGCATTGCATCGTTTGTGCTTTTTACCTTCCTTCCATATAACCTACTGCTCGTCTTGCCAAGTAGAAAATTGCATACGTTTACCAACAGATTCTGCAGTTCACCTCAATCTAGAGAGTGCTCTGCTGTGCAGGCTGCTCTGTTCAGCTGGATCAGCCAGTTGTGCACCTTGCCAAGGAAATGCCCTCGTTCCCATCCCCAGTCGCATGCAGCTCAAGCCATGGAAAGTGTTGTTGCAGATTCCCCCTGGTGGGATGCTGTGTGAAGGTCATACCTGGGGGACAACAGCAGTATGGAAACACTCTTATTAATAAAACTTCCTTTTTTCTCTGCCTATACATGATGCAGATGAAGTGCCAAAACTGAAGATGTGGCAAAGACAAGAGAGTCCCGCGGAGGCACCCTGCTACTGCTGTACAAACTCCAAGAGTGACTAGAAGGTCAGACTCAGTGAGACCTCAGGAGGGGAGACTAGATCTTCCTAATGTGCCCAGATGCAAACATGACAGCTCAGGGCCTTCTGGTCAAAGGAGAGGCCTGAATATGATATTAGAGTGCAGGGAGAATGAAATGGGTGCATTTTTAAATGCATCGATTGGGTATATACAATACGAGAGGCATTTGTTTTAGCCTCCGCAGATGACTGAGACCCTGCTGGCAAGAGTAAGTGTAACTTTTCCAGTACAATGGAGACTGAAACTGTCAAACTGTGAGGCAGACAAAACATAGGGAGAAAAACAAAAGTACTAACTGCAGTATTTTCCTGGCAGACCTGAGATTCAGCTGTAAACTCCTCACCAGTGTTTCTTTGCTGAAGAATAGCAACTTACACTTTAAGGAGGCAGGAAAAGGAGTGGTGGCTTCACCCTCCCAGGAATTTCAGCAGATGTGAAGGCAAAGGGGAGAGCACAAGGTCAGCCAGGAAGGATTTGGGTCTGATGGCAGAATGAAAGTAGCTAGGGAAGGGACTTTCTCCTTGAGAGGAGAAATCTGCCTTTAATGCCACAGTGCAGCAGTATAGCAGAGGCAACTTGCCTTCCAAAGTCCCTAAGTTGCAGATGGAATTCCTAAGCAGTTTTGTGACTGAGTGTGTCTTCCCACACTACAGGGAAACATTTCTGGGCAGTGGCAGCAGGTGATGTAAACGTGGTCATCAGTGTTAATTGTTTGTAGCCACCATTGCAACCAAGAGCGTGTTGCATCATGCCTGTGGAAGGAGAGCAGGAGATGATTTGTGCCCTGAGGGAGCTGGAACTTGTCGAGGTGGGTCGCTGGCCAGGGAGGAGAGCACAGAGTAGGTAATACTGTAGGGCACGAGGTGAGGAAAACATTGGGCAAAAAGTGATGTGCTAAATAGTAAAGGAGAGAGGCAAGGCTGGATGGAAGCGTCTGGTATGGAGGGAAATGGAGGAGGAAAGGCTGCAGGAGTGCAGGCTGGAGCAGAAAGCACTTTGGTGCGAGGCAAAGGAAGGTGCAGAACAGATGGATAGGCATGTATGGGGTGAAGCTGGGCAGAGGTCTTCTTTCCTCCTGGAAAGCTGTGAGTGCTGCTCAGCAGCTCCATCCTATGTCTTGGCCAGCCTCACCCCTTTATCCCCAGGATGGGAGGGCAAT